TCCCCCACACGCCCACCCCAGCTCCGGCTCCCCCACCACTCACAGTGGTGGAGCAGTTGGGGCCCTGCCAGCAGCCAGTGCCCTGTTCGTACTTCATGGAGCTGAACCTGTCGTGTTCGGAGCCAGCCCACGAGCCCCAGGTGCTGCGGAGAGTGAGGTGCTGAAGGGTGGGCTGAGCTAGAGTTTAGAGAGTGCCAAGAGAGAAGAGGCTCCGCCTAAGCCCCACTCACCCGAGGTTGAGTGAGAGAGCCGCCGCCGAGCTTGAGTTGCTGTGAGACATGCTTGAAGAGACAGAGTCGGTAGACATACCTGTCATATAGGACAGGACTGGTGGGTGGGGCACACAGGACCCCAGCCCCCCGACACCCCCACACACGGGTGGGGGAGGGTGTGCACCCCCGGTGGCCTTGCTCAGGCTCAGACCCTCCAAGTCCACCCGCCTGCCTGCCTGCCCGCCCTGGGGGGTGGAAGGGGGGCGCACTCATTGGTGGTGAGTTCGTAGCACTGCTTGTACAGGTAGGCAAACTCCCCGCTGGGGCCGAAGTCAAAGGAAATCTCCTGCTCCAGGTTCCTGCAAGGGAAGGCCACGTGGTGAGGGGCAGCAGTGTCCACGCCGACTCAGGCCGCGCTGGGCGTCCCCACGATGAGTGGAGGGCCGTGTGGGCTGGGCTCCAGCTCCCTGCCACCTGGGGACCCCCCTCAGGAGCCACCCAGCCTGGTAGCAACAGTTGCCTCGGCAACCACCTATCGTCACCACCTCTGGGGAGCCAGCCCGCGCTCATACCTGATGGCCTCCTCCATGTCCCTCAAGGACCGCTCGGCCTCCTCAAACTTGTTGCGGGCCTCCTGGGCAGCTGGGGGGGCAGAGTGGGGGCAAGGTCAGGGGCCCCTGCCCAAATCCAGGAAGGGGGGGGGGGTGGCTGGACACGCCTGCTTCCCCGCCCCCAGGCCTGCTCTGGGGAAGACCGCACCAGGAAGGCCCTGCGGGTCTCGCCAGCTGCAGAGCCCACCCCGCCGCCCAGGCTCGTGGCTCCCAAGGGATCAGGGCCAGGGCTCCTGGGGCGCCACTGGCTCCCCACCCATGAGGGTGGCACAAGTAAGCAGCACCCGGTGAGGAGGCAGAGAGGCCCTGGGGCTGGCCGGGGTGGTACTGGCCTCCCCAGGCCCCAGATGCCCCCTCCAGGCCTGGTTCTTGGGTGCCTACAGGTGACGGCAGAGGGGAACAGGTATGGGCAGCG